TACTCAGCCATAACAGGTGTTACGGGTTACTGCCCTTATTGACAGCCCTGCACATACCGGTATTTCAATACTCCTTTATTGGTGGGTAACACTTCACCTGTTTTGCCTGCACAACATTAAAAATCAATTTCTAACTGTTATGTAGCTTACCTAAGTGCTATCAGGAGCTCATTAGTTACCAGAGAGTAGCAATCCAACTTCACATGCCGCAGACCACTGGACACAAGATGTATAAGTTATTAAACATTATTTAACACACAATGTATAAGTTACTATTGATAGTAAACACTATCATGAATACTAGAAGAGATGAGAACATCAGTGACATCATCTGTGATCAATTACCGAACAGAAGCATGGCAACATGGAATCTATTTGTTAATTTTACCGCATTTCTAAGCTACAACTGTACCCCTATCAAGCAGCCACCCTCGCGGAAATGGGAGGTGCCTGCTTAATAAGGTTGGCCACTTTATACCAGTTTGTCAGGAATTAGTGCAAGGCTTAGTAAGTGGCCATGGCCACTTAATAGAGGTGGCTTGTTAATAAGGGTTTTATTCACAATACTTCACTGACAACAATTTTGAGACTTGTATAACTGGTTGCTTAATCAGGGGTGGTCACTTAATAGGTGAAAGCTTAGTAAAGGTTCAACTGTAATTAAATCTCGTCCAGACATAATAAAACCCCACATGGTTTGCCCCTTCCCCTTCAAAACAGGTCCCTAAAGACTTGGCTTACCAGGGGATAAATGCCTGCATTGCTTTGGGAGTAAGTGTTTTATTCTTCATGAGATGAGTCAAGATCTTGTCACACAGATCATGTGGTAACATGCCAACGGTAGAAATTGGGTTCTGATGCCCAGGGAGCCGATGGCTGATGTGGTTGATACACAGGTCTTCCAGACGTTGAACGTCACGATGGAGTTGGGGCTGCTCTTCTTGAGTTACTTGACTAGGTCCTCAAGAAGAATTAAAGAATAACCCAATGAGTATCTCATGGAATGATAGTATACCTAATATGTAGTGCCTCATTTCACCAGGTAGAGAACAACAACACCAGCAAATGTCCAGTGAGTACTATTAAATTGATTTCCCTGCCAAAATACGATTATTCTATGAAATAATTAACTTTGTCCTGAACAACTGCAATGGGTTTGCTGAATTTCTATTGAGCCATTTAGATGCACCTCAAATACCTGCTTGAGTCAGTTTTGGCATCTCTATGTTCTCAGTCACTCCACGTCAAGTTACCTGCATGGCTCAGTTGTTCAAACGGTGGACAACATTCTCCATGAGATAAATCACTATCCACTGGATATGGTAAATAAATGTGTTTTCTTAACATTTATCCACTGGTTGGCAATTTACCTAATGGATACCATTATCCATCCTTTGCACATCGCAAGCCAGAGGGGTAAATTTTACCAACTTGAAAAGTGGAAAGCCCTGTATTTCCCTAGGTAACAAGGATTTGTGTATGATAATCAAGGCAAGCGTTCAATACCTGCTTCTGGTTGAAGCTGTTGCTGCTGTCGCATTTCCAATCTCCTAACAGCAGACTCCCCTGGGGTTTGTGCTCTCAGAACTGGATCAATCACATGTGGATTATGTTGAACAGCACCGAGTCTTACTCCTTCCCCCCACATGTGACCATGTCCCCTAGCAACAAAATTCTGCATTCCGCCTACACCAAGGATATTTGGATTCAGTCCTTCTAAAGGTACTCTCAGGTGATCTTCTAACTCTGGTGGTGGACTTCTATCAAATACTGGGGGATCAGCATCTTCCTGCTCTTCTTGAGCATCATCAGCATTGCCAGTAGCATCGTTTCCATGGGAAGAAACATTGTCCTCTCTGTCAGGACAAGGGTTTGATGGTAGCCCACCAGTATTCTCAGGTCTGTTTGCCATTCTTGATGTCGTAGCACAACCATCTTGTGGATTGAGTTCAGCAGATGCCTGGCCTACAGATTTAGGGTTTTAGAGGTTGTTTTAGGGAATTTTTTTTCTCAAATTGCAAGCATCACTGTAATCAGATTGTAAGTTCTTTTATTTTCATAAGCTAGGTAACTGACTGAGAAATTTGTTCCCAAAATAAGTTCCCAACATGAAATAGGCCATTCCCAAATTACCGTGTGCCTCGGTTTCAAAATGAGTCTTCATGCAAAAACCTTCATACGAAAATGAGTTTGATTTGCATGAAAATGAATGTGCAGGCAGAACACATTTTCATATAATATTGATTGGTTTCACACTAAGACTCATTTTGACACAGAGGTACAAGGTAACTCAGAAATGGCCTATTGAATAAACCATAATGCACATAGGAAAGTCTGCATCAGACCAGGTGGCCCTTATGCTGGTTCATTAGCATAGAGTGATTAGGTACATTTCTCTTCTGTCTTGGTGATGATGCTAGCCTGTCATCAGGGTACAAAGAATGTTTAGGCTTACCCTTCAGGTAAGCTTTAACTATGATGTAGTAGCCTGAAAATCATTTTCACTAGCTAGCCCCAAAATATTTCATCTCTAATTTGAATTTCCTCAAACTTTTCCCAAGAAATTTCACAAATTTCAAGTGACAGACAAAATCCATAAGTTCCAGGCTATCAGGCACAACTTTCCTTGCACACTGGTCATATCCCACCCTAATCCCCACCGAAAAAAACACACAATAGATTGGAACTTGGCCACTCAATTCAGATTCCAGTATGCTAATTATTAAGCCACTGCATCTTCAACAGTTGAAATAGAATAATAAAAAGGACAATGACTGTAGAGAAGAAAAACATCAGCCTTACCAGACAATGAAGACGGTGGATTGACATCTCTCTTCTTCACCACAAGTGAACCCCCTGCACTAAGTCCAAGCTCCACTAATGTTGTTGTCAATTCTGCGTCAGTGAACAGCCTGTGGGGAAATGGCTGTGAAGCCAAATGAAACTGATAATTACAGAAAGAAAAGGGGTTCTGCACTTTGAGAAAGTTTCATTCCCTCTGACGATCTCAGATATCCATATAGACTGTAACATGATTAGGAGAACTCCAAGCCTTGCCCCTCTCAAACAACATCACACAAAATAATTATACCTCTTGTTTACTCCACCTTCTTGAGGTCCTGTCATAAAGTCACCTACTCTGAGTTGCTAAACTGGACACATCAGGGTGTCATTTACTGTATCACTATAATGATGTACCTGCAAAAGCTCAAAGTTATCTGAGCTCAGGTGATACTGGCCACAGATAAAAGTCACAACATCTTGAAGTTTGGCATCAGGGGCAAATGTTTGTCTCTGCACATGCCCAGTTGGACCTCTTATCTACAGTGAGTAAATTGGAAATGATACAATGATGATGACGATACATGACTGGCATTTGCAGTGTTTATGAGAGTGAGTTTGGTCAACAGCCTTAGGAAGCATTGTGCTTAACATTTTGGAGGATATGTATGTCTTTTGAAAGACCTTAAAGTCTGGATGTAAAGTGAGATAAATACAGGAATGTGACAATAGTTTTTTTAATATTATACAAGAAGCTGTAAGAGCTTACAACGGGCCCTGGGATTTAAACTCCTCAAACATGTTGGTCGTATGAAAGACCTGATCAATGCAGCACAATGAAAAGTTTCAAAAAATTTCATGCAAAAACCCTGGGCTTATTCAGCTACTTATAAAGCACTTTGGGCAGGTTTATTATTTAATTTAACCGCATTCCGATAAGAAGCAAGTTAAGGCTAATTTTACAAGTAGAGTCATGTTTGCTCAATAACTGCATTTGAAAACAAACTTCAAGTTGTATCAACTCCTCCTTGAAGAACACAAGAAACTTAGAAAGTGTTGGTGGTGTAGGTGGGAGGAGGAGGAGGAGGTAACTTATAACCCAAATATTTTTTGGTTAGTAAACAGAAGGACCAAAACGTAAAACTGGACAGAGTTATACATGTAACTGAACTGAATTTTATAGTAACACCAGCAAAGATGCCTACTTAGGTCATAGGTGCCTTCTACATTCAATGTCTTTTCAATTTTAGGGAAGTACTCTGTAAACATTCACCTGAAGCAAGCACTGTTTACTGTGCTGTAAACATTGTTTATGTTCTCTGCTGCTGCTTGCCATTTGAGTTGTGGAAGACAGAGTAGATGCAGGTTTGGTTACCTTCCTGCTACTCCTGTTGACCCTGTCTTCGGCTATTTGTCGCAGAACCTCCTGTCGTGCCTAGAGTCAGGAATAAAGGTCTTGATGTACATGTATAGGGAACCCAAGTTGTGATATTATTTAATGACTGAAATACATGCAAAGTAACTAAAAGCCAATTGTGTCTTTATCAAATCCATTTTCTACAGATGTTTCAGCTCTCTAATATTTGAAAACATTTTTCATTTCATTAAAAAGGGATGCACTGCCATATGGCTAAGTTTAAGATTATTATTCAAAAGGTTCAACCCCTGAGAGTTGAGATCATCCATTTAAGCAGCAATAGAAAAAGTCTATTTAATCATAAAGATGATGAGAACCATATTTACAGAGAATTTTGCCGCATGTTATGATGGTATTCTTACTCTCTTCTCCATTAGTTTTCTCCTTTTGACCTCCATCCTTGCATTTTCTCTTTCCTTCTCCATGAACTGTTCCTTGGCTTTCAAATGTTCCTCACTAACTGTGTATCGACTTGACAGGGCAGATGAGGGTTGAACATCATCACTTGAGGAGCTGTTCTCCTCTGTAGGAACTTGAGACTGTGATGAAAAGTCTTGTTTACAAACAGCAAAGACTTAACAACTACGACATCTACA